ACAAATATGGTATGCATTTGCTCATATGTGAATAATATGTTAAGTCAATGAAAACCAAGCTAGAGAACCACATATGGTAGGTATAGAAAACAGAACTAGAGGGAGCAGTTCCTTAATCTAGTTCCCTTAGGAAAGGGAAATAGAATAGATAATTATGGATGGACTAGGGCAGAAACTGAAATGGGAGGATCAAAAGGGAATTGAGGAAAAGTGGAAATATAATATAATAAATATAATATATAATGGGTGGAAATATAAGGAAAGACAGCTAAACTTAAGGGGCATTTGAGAGTAGTAAGAAAACCTAATGTAGTAGAAACCTTCTAAATTATATACATATATGAAGGTGATCTAAATTAAATTGCCAAATAATGATGAATACAGAGTCTCAGCTGGACATCTTGTGTAATCAAAGAAGTTCTCAGTATGGGAACTAGGTTACATCTAATTGAGTTGCTAGCCAAAGGGACCCCTTGGAAATTCCCAAACAGCAGAGGCTATTGGCAGGATTATATATAAGTTGCTATCCACAAACGGACAGCAAGGACCCATTGTTGACTACAATACCTGTAAAACTCACAGAACATGGAAATGTCTATCTGGCACCTACAGAGAATCTCCACTCTCTGTTCTGGAGTATTTGGTATAGGAAGGCACTTTATTTGTTGCCAAAGGAGAAATGTAAACACCTTGTTATCCACAAATGCTTTGATCTATTTGTAGCATATGCTAGAGAAAGAGTGGCATACAGCTTGTGGGCACAATCAATAACTGGTTTGACTTAAGGCCCACTGGACAAGAGGGAAACCATACTTAATACCACTTAGGTCAACAAAAACCTGAGACTAGTTAGCACAGAGTCCTTGAGAAAACTAAATCATTCTGGTCTTAAAACAACAACAAATAGTGATGAAATGACTCCTAACTGTATTCTGCTACACTCAGATCAGCCATCATCAGAGAAACTTTCTCCTGCAGCAGATGGGAACAAATACAGAAATCCATAGTCAGACATTAAGCAGAAAATGAGAGACCTTGGAACACTTAGTCCTAAAAGGGATGTCTTCATCAAATCCTTCCCCTCAGAGGTCAGAGAACCCAATGAAAGCGGAGACAGAAAGAGTGTAAAAGCCAGTGGGGATGGAGGGTACCAAGGAAAAAAAGTCCTCTAAATCAACATGAGCACTCCTCATATAAACTCACAGAAACTAAAGTAGCATACACATGACCCGCACGGGTCTACATCAGGTCCTCAACATTATAGATAGATAGATAGATAGATAGATAGATAGATAGATAGATAGATAGATAGAGGTAGAGGTAGAGGTAGAGGTAGATTAGATATAGGTGATATGGATATAGATATCTTCCAGTTTAGGGTTTTAATGGGAGTCCTCTGAATGTATGATTGAGTGGGTCTCTGGTTCTTGAGCCATCCCTTAGGTTTTTTTCTTCTGTTGGTTTGTCCTGACAAATTTTGATTTCATAGTTTTTGTTTTCTTTTATTGTATTTTATATTATGTTTAAATAAATGAACAAATGAATGAATAAAAACTAACAGCTAGTGTAAATGTTAACAACTGAACTATTATTTATACCTGGTGAGAGTGGAAAATCTGTTTTCTCCAGTGGAATGGCAACCACTCCAGGGCAAGCCTCTTGTTCGGGACCAGTTGACCAACATAATATAGATTCCACAGGATTGTTTTGTGTGTGTGTGTGTGTGCTTTTATTGGGTTACAGTTAGGTTTTATTTGGTTCAGTTTTTTGTTTTGGTTTGGTTTTATATCATTTTAATTTGTTTTCTTGGTTTGTTGTTGTATTGGGTTCTTGCTTGTTTTTGTTGTTGCTCTGTTCTGTTTTGTTTTAAAACTTAAAGTTGGGTAGCTAGGGAGTAAAAGAAGATGTAGAAGGACTTGGGGAGTAGAAGAATATGATCAAAGTATATTTAAATTCGAAGATCATTTTAAGAAATAAAGAGCATAATAAAAATGGAGAGAGCCCCCAGTTTGATGAGTAGTATCAGAAGTCAGTTTACATAAGAACTATCCACAGAGTCTAACTGTCATGTACATTTTTTCAGGATCATAACTTTCAGAAAAATAAAGAAATACCTGAATCTGTAAGATTAAAAAGAGTACCCTAAAACATTGCTAAGAAGTAAGGGAACCTCCATTTGAAAGAAGAGACAGAATTCCTACTGAAAGTCTCTGTATCATTCAGGTCTCAGAAACAAGAGAAGATGGAGCTATTTGCCCTGTGGAGGTCTGACCTGAGAGAAGAGGACCCTGGACCAGTTGGCTGGATGCTTTAAGAGCAGGAGCTATAGCTCATTCTAGATAGATGTTTTCACCTGATAAGAAATAGCAAACTGGGATGAAGGTGCCAGCTTTCTGCAGACAGCTGGACCAAAAAGCAATGGAGGAGAGAGGAAGCCTGGGCAGTGTGCCCCAGGGTTGTGATCAGCCTTCGCTGGCTCTAGTGGAGCTCCTTGCTATGACACAATACTCAACCAGCTTGCCAATCTGAATATCATTGCTTAAGATAAACACCCAGGCAAGATTCTTAGTGAAAGAAGCTAGGCTGTGCCTCTTTTAAAACTTTTTTTAAAAAAGAAATTAGCTATTAATTGCTTCCTTTAAGACTGCTATAGAAAAGGGCATTGATTTTAATATATTTGAAAATAATTACTATGAACCTGAACATTCAACAATTGGGGCAACAGATTAAAATATAATTAAACAATAGCATATGAGGAGGCTATTAGCATATTTTCTAAAGGTCACATGGCCCATCTGTGACAATAAGAAGTTAAAGATATGTAGGCGAGCTGACTGACGTTACTTAAAATAGGAGCTCGCTAAGCTTGTGGAATATATGTACAGCGGTGATGTCACCACATACTCTTAGGACTAACAAAGACACTTTGCATGAAGGTTTAGACACTGTTTCTATAAGAAACATTTTATAATAGCTTAGAATATGAGGCACCTATCAAGAATATACATTGAAATAATATAAATACAAAATATACAGTTTCTTTAAGACAAGTTCTCACGATGTAGCTATAGGCCTGGCTGGTATTAAACTCAGGATACACCTGACTTTCTCAGTCCTTAGTGCTGGGCTCAAAAATATGTATGCCACACCTGGCGATAATACACATTCCACTCAGTGTTTGGTTTTTACAATCCTTATACAATGGGTAAGGATGGGGTCTAGCCTGTGGCTTTAATTAGCTATCTCCTGACATCATTTCCACCCCTCCCAACAGATAGTTTGTGTGATATTTCTATATTTGCTATAGAAAACATGACCCAAATTTGCTTTAGAACAGCTAGTCAAATTCAAGTTAGTGCTTTTCAAGGTTGTGTCTGGTTCACTTCTGTAGATAAGAGCGAAGTGTATCACAGGAGTATACAGAGCCAATCTGTCTAACATGTTAAATGACTGTTTGCCTCATGTGACTAATTAGTGTGATGAATTCAAAGAAGGATTGTTTCCTAGTCCCACCCATACCGTTCTATAGAACACATATGGAGAGAGTTTTTCTAGGGGCTCTGTGGACTGTTAGTAGCACTGTGAATTAACAATTCTCCAGAAAACGGAGCAGAAACAGAATGGGCAGGTGAGTGAAAGAACCAAATGTTTGTAAATGCCTCTGAACATTGAGGAGCTCCCCAGCCTCCAGGGAAGTCACTGTCCTTGGTGCCCCAACTCCTTCATCTGCAAAGCGAGCAGTAGAGTACCTACCTGGATCAGGCATGGAGAATTCTAACACCTATGGTAACTCACAAGAGAGAATTTGCCTCCAATCAGAACTAACCACTTCTTGTCAGGGTTTAGAATTCCGTGGGGCACAGAAAAATACCTTCCTCATTTAACCAGCAAACAACTGAGTTAGAGTGTGATATAGCTGGCTATCTCCATATCTTATACAATCAGTGTGTCCCAGGATTGCCACCATTACAGTTTAGGACTCAGGTGACCTCTGTAGTGTATCCCACTCTTACACTCTGGGGACTGAGGTATCAGATTTTCCACCAGCAATGAGGAATCTCCTTGCTTTCATTTTTGTGACTATCGAGAGCTTCTGCTTCAACACTACCCTTCTTTCAGAAGGCCACTGACCATCGAAGGACCTTCAGACTCCCTTTTGGGCACTAACTCTAAAGAGGACACATTTGCCAACCAAGAAAACCTCCCAGTACTATATACAGTCTCTGCATTAGATAGTAAATAAGAACTCAGTCCTGGCTAAGATACGAAAGAAGGAGGTCCAGAGGGCCTAGGCTTGGCTTTGGTTGTCCAGTCTGCTCTGGAATCAGGGAGGGTGCTCTCCAGGATTTCCATCCAAGCTTATATTTAGTCTCCTGCTCCTGGCTCTTGATGGCTATATTTACATCTCAATGTAATTATATACATATATACAATTTAACCAGAGTGGTTTTGAATTGCTGTTTTCCTGTTAAATTGAAAAAAAGAACCCTTAATTTAACTCCTCTCATGTTGGACTCACAAGCCTTTCAAACGAGCCAGTAGCTGGCTATATTTCCCACAGTGAACTCTATCTACAAAGAGACAGACCTGCTGGGCTATGGGGGACTCTTTGGTTGGCTTGCACATTTCAAATGTATTACCATTAATTTGTAGAGCTATGATCAATGCAGGCAATGGCCTCTAGTTTCCCTCCCTCCCACAATCTTTCCCACCAACCAATTTCCGCGTCCCATTCTGGATGTCAGTCATGACAGGTTTAATGAAGAATGGCTGGTGCATACCTGGGAGGCAAGATTACTACAAATGGGAGCAAGCAGAGGGATTTAGATGCTAAGGCAATGGAAAAACAGACATGCTTATGAAACTCCACTCCATCTTATGGAGAGTGCAGCCGAAAGGAGATGAGATCAAAGGAAGGGCAGAGACTTACATGGCAAAGGAGATGAGTGGACTCATATATACATATCACAAAACAAAAAGAGCCACAACTGTGGGCTTACTTGCAGAAGTATATACAAGTGAACTGGGGCCACTGTACATGGAAGATCCCTCCTGGTTGGCCTGGCACAACAACACCGTGCCTACAAGAGAGAGAAAGAGAGAGAGAAAGAGATGGTGGTGTCTGGTTTGGGGACAGCACACTACATCTGAGAACATGGTAATACAAACAAAAAAGGCAGGGAAATGAAAACATAGCCACATCTCAGAGTACAGGAAGCCAAAGAGACCAGAGGAAACCCACCCACTTCCATAACCCACCAAATACATGCCGTGCCATTTCACATGAGCGTTAATTGAAGGGTCTAGTTAGTGTGTAACAGCCCGCTTTCATACACACAATGGGAATGGTGTGCCATCCTCAAGGGTGTCTTAAGAAATAGCAGCCAACCCAATACCCATGTCCCAGTAAGTATCCCCTAAGTAAACCGATTTGATCACCAAATATTAAAAATAAAAAAGTACAAGAGAGAGAGACAGAGACAGAGATAGAGACTTTGGAGGGAGACTAGAATAAGTGGGAGGAGAAAAAGAGTAGGTAATGGAAGAACTGATGAAAAACATATACATGAAATGTCATCATGGAAGCCATTATTATGTATAATTAATATATGCTAACTTAAACTTTAAAAATATCAATAAAGAACAGACAGTAAATTGGACTGAAACCACTTTCACGTGATCTTTATAAGTCACTGGGCCTCTCTCCAGCTCACAAGTCCTATCTGAGAAACAGAAATGGGCATAAACATACCTACCTACAAAAGGCACTCATAGGAAGGGCTACCATTTAAATGAATGGCCCACAAATGGGATGTTTAGGTGTTCATTTGTTTCAGGGCATTTTTCCCTACCCCTGCCCTAAGCATTCATCTTCACAGATGAGCTCCTTAGGGAAAGGGTGGAATAAGGGCAAGACAGAAAAGAATGTTTGATGTGTCTTCCCTATGGCCCCTCCTGGACGCACGCTTGACACTGTGGGAGATGACTGTTGGCCTACTTGCTTCAGGTCGCATCCCAGGAGTTCCTCCTGCTGCAGTGTCTGTTTAACTGACCTGCAGGCAGCCAGGGACTGCAGTGAGGGCTTGCCCCTGCCTGATTTAAAGGACAGGGCAGCTGGCTTCTTGTAAAAATGGAAATTTACAGGAGGAAGGAATGGTGGAATCCTGAAACAGTTCCTACTCTGGTGCCACCTTTGAACTGCCTCCTCACATCAAGGATGGCTGGCCCGAGGAGGACTCTTTGGAAGGTAATTTACCTCTGCTAGTGCTGTTAAATTCAAACTCAAGGACTGCAAAGAATGAGAGGGGCTTGGTGCCCATGGAGTAAACCAGTGAAGGATGCTATAAAAACCTCCCTGCTTTCTGTTCATTTCCCTGAATGGGCCAAGTCAACTTCCATCACTTATTTTTGTACTGTGGCAGGACTGTCATCTTCCACAAAATGAAGCCTATCTCATGAGCAAGTCCATCCTATGGAAAGGGTCTATCATCCTGTTCTTCATTACATCAAAATCTTCAGACAGGTAGCTTAAATTCTCAAGTGTCATTGGGTTCAGAAACAAGAAAGTTGATGGTCCTGGCTGCCTGTGCACCACTATGCAACTCTTTCAGGTTCTAACAAGATACATAGTACATCAGAGAGACTCTAACAATTCCCTCTCAAACCCATGTCCACCTCCTCTCCGTACTTCTTTAGAATCTGAAACCTATTGAAACTTATTTCCAGGTTAAAATAAAGATGAATGTGTGTGTGTGTGTGTGTGTGTGTGTGTGTGTGTGTGTGTGTGTGT